AATGGCTGCTGTTGCTTGTTTCTGGGTTTCTTAAGTCCGCATTAGGCTTCATTAGCCATACCCACACCTCTGTAAACAATCTCTACATTAAATTCCCTTTGGCTGAACCATCTGAGTGAAATCTGATTTTTTACCATGACTCCACCTGCTTTCTCTGTGAGGGTGTTAAAGAAAGAGGCCTTACTATTTTCCTATATTTTACAGAACATAGGGTAGAATCACTAGAAAATTCTGCCCCTAAGAAAGCCAGGCTTAGAAACGAGCTTCTCTTCCCACCTTGTATACCTGACTTTGGAGAGCGTCATTTTTTCACACCTTAAAAAGCCAGAAAGGAGTGGCAAATCAGAGCTGACTTCTCAGCCAGCTTCCAGGGATAGAATCCCAACCCTGCCATTTATGGATTGAAATGTTGGGGGAAATTACCTAACCTCCCTTTTCCTCAGTTTCCTCATCTAGAAAATGGGGCTGTAACCCTGACCTTAGTGTGAAGATTAAAGCGCACATTCCATGTGCAAAGTGCTCTCTGCATAGCCTGACTTCCAAGCAGTTGCTAGCCCCAGATCAATCCTGTGGCTCATAGTCTCTCTTCTCTTTCTTCTCTTACTGACTGCTTTGTCTCTGATCAGCCTGATTGTCTGCTTCCTTTATACAGAATCTCCTAAAGGAGACAGTGTTATAATAATAACAACAAACAAGTTAGGAAGAATTACCCTCCCATCTCTCTTGTAAATGTCGACAGGTTCCATCATTATATTACAATCCCAATTAAAGGGAAATTCCCCACCAAGCCATAAACCTAAAATGAAAAAAACCCTATAGGGATGAATAAGCCTCCTCCGTGAACAAACCTGCTATTTATCCTTTTTTTTTTTTTTGTCACTGCTTATGTGTGCTCAAATCCCCGCTGAACAAATCCTGCAAGCTGATGAAGAAGCAAAGCTAAGGGCATCCATCGGTGAGTCTGTCAAGACTTTACTTGTAATGAGTCTCCCATGGATTTGATTATTACTGGATATTAATTATTAATGGTATTTCCTGCAGGAGGCCTGTGTGGGCTTCTTTTCCCCCAACCTCTATTTTGAACTGGAATTAAAAAATAACCAGAAATCTCCCCCAGTGGAGCAGGGAGAGGAAAAAGAGAAAGGAATCGAGGGAATCCCTCTGCTAGTCTTTCACCACTGGCACCACTTGAAATTCTGGGGCTGTTCACATAATTAAGAGTAGGAAGCAGCTCTGTGCTTAGCCTCCTCCCGTCCTCCAGCTGTAACCCCTCTTTCAAAGCCACAAAGGAGAAACAAAGCACCTTTCTGCCTGCCTCCTCTCCCCCATCCTCACTCTCCAGTTCTAACCCTGTCTTCTTTGATAATTAATTTCCTCTGATGGTTATGTTAATTTTTATGGCTTCCTAATGATTAGAAATATTTGGCAGATTAACATCATTTAACTTTCCTCTCCCTGGGGGCGGGGAAGAGACAGGGATGGTGCTAAATGGTGAGAAACAGCTGGAAAAGCCAAGGGTGAAAATCACAATTCTGTGCCAAGCATTTCAATGGGACGGTGAAAGATGGACACCCAGGAAAGTCTGGAGAAGTTAAAGCCAAATTAAGAAATAATAATAAGGCCAAAAGATCAGAAACATAGCCCTGCCCCCGCCCTGTGTGTGTTTATCCTTTATACACTGTTGACAGTCCATATGTTGCTTCCTAGCAATGTTTTAAAGACGGCTACACCTGTCAGGGTGTCTGGGAGGTAAAGACAGAGCAGATGTTGAGATTTGTGCCATGGAAGAGAAAAATTCATTTTGTCTAGCAAAAAGTGGCATGCTCCCGTGCGTCCTGAAGGGGTCCCTCCACCATTGCCACTCTCCCCTTTTCCATAAAGCAGTGGCCCCACATGGTGCCGCAGATGGAAAGATGGAATTTAATTTTACTGGCGTTCAATCAAAACAGAATAATGTGTTTAATATCCCTGCAGTGTAAGTGAAAGGGAGAGATTTATGAACTCCTGGGAGGCAAGAGATTCCAAGCAGTGCTTTGATATCTCCTCGTATGTATAAACATAGAACTGCAGTGGAAAATATGGATAAATCCAGGTTAAGATCTCCGCCTCCTCTCCCATGTTGCTACTTTAAGTTCAAGCCTTTCTGACAAAGGGGTGGCACTCTCACCAAGAGAACAGCTGAATTAATACAAAGGTAGTCAGGCACCCTGAGCTTAATCCCAGACTTAATCCAGAGGGTGATTTGGCCACAAGTGTCAAGGGAAGAGATAGATGCTTCTGATTGGCAGACATATTCAATAGGGAAAAGCCTCACAAAGGAAGTTACTAGAAACTCCACCTCAAGTTTCATTTAAAATCTAGTAGATGGTGGCCAGGGGCAGTGGCTCACGCCTGTAATCCTAGCACTTTGGGAGGCCGAGGTGGGTGGATTGCCTGAGCTCAGGAATTTGAGACCAGCCTGGGCAACATGGGTGAAACCCCATCTCTACTAAAATACAAAAAATTAGCTGGGCATGGTGGCATGCACTTGTAGTCCCAGGGAGGGTGAGGCAGGAGAATTGCTAGAACCGGGGAGGCAGAGGTGGCAGTGAGTCAAGATCGCACTACTGTACTCCAGCCTGGGCGACAGAACCAGACTCTGTCTCTAAAAAAAAAAAAAAAAAAATCTAGTAGATGGTAATTATATGGCTATACGTTTGTTGATAAAATAGCAACAAATCATATACATAGGGAAAACAAAAATCTGGAATTAAGTATCTCAAAATGCTATAAGAGGTTGAGTTAGGATAGTAAAATTATAGGTAATCATTGTTTTTTGTAACTTTTCTCTAAATTTGTTTCTAATGCAATGATATTATTTTTATTTATTTTTTTTATTTTATTTATTTTATTTTTTTGAGACGGAGTCTCGCTCTGTTGCCCAGGCTGGAGTGCAGTGGCTGGATCTCGGCTCACTGCAAGCTCCGCCTCCCGGGTTTACGCCATTCTCCTGCCTCAGCCTCCCGAGTAGCTGGGACTACAGGCGCCCGCCACCTCACCCGGCTAGTTTTTTTTTGTATTTTTTAGTAGAGACGGGGTTTCACTGGGTTAGCCAGGATGGTCTCGATCTGCTGACCTCGTGATCCGCCCGTCTCGGCCTCCCAAAGTGCTGGGATTACAGGCTTGAGCCACCGCGCCCGGCCGATATTATTTTTATAATGGTGAATATATGTACATTGTGTGTGTATTTGTGTGCAAGAGTTTCTATTTTTGGTGTGCATTAGAATCACCTAGGGAGCTCTTTAAAAATGTGGATGTATGAACCCCACTTTAGACCTCCTGAAATAAGTAAATGAATAAATACAATACAATACAATACGATATAAAACCCAATCCTCCCCTAACCTAACCGAGTTCTCCCAGATTTGCTTATCTGGTGTGGAGTTGTCAGGCAGGCTATCTCATCTGGTCTGCATTATATTCATATTGGTCACTCAAAGCTTATTCCAAAAGAACACTCTGCTTTCTGTATAATTTTCCCTGAAAACATTTTACAGTCATGTCTATATCTGATTCTTTCTCACAAAAATATCTTTAAACTCTGTACTTTTCACTTTGGGATATGATTTTCAATATCCAAAAAACAAAGTCCAGTGACTGTCAGAATACCAACTTAATCCTGTCCCTTTCTCACAGATACATACACATGCCTACATTCACACCAGCAAGGAGGAGTCTACACATACATGGTTCCACTACTGTTTGGTAAATTCAGTTAATTTAGTGAAAAATCACAAGTTCATCAAATTTGGGATTGACTGAATGAGCCATTTGGGAAGATTTTAAAAACCCGTTAATTGGTATGTATCATGAATACTAGTCAAGAGAGTTGAATCAGGTTATACTGAGGATGCCACTGAACAGCTGCAGAGGCATCCTTCTTATTTGAACTCTCTAGTGACAGAGTAAAGTCAAATAATACGGTTTTCTCATGTTAAGTTTTTAGGTCCAGTTAACAGTAATTGTATCAAATTAAAACAAAATCATTTTGGTTACAGTGTTACCTCAGGTATGGTTGATTGTACACACACACACACACACACACACAGACACACACACAGAATACACATCAATTAGAGGTTTGGAGAGACTGTCCCCACATTTGCATAAAGATATGGTCATTCATTATGGTGTGTTTTTAAAGATGTTGTCAATGGGATTGAATATGGCCTCCCAGCTAACTGCACAGCACTGCAAGAAAAATGCAAAGGTACTTTATTTTGTTTTTGTTTAACCAGGAGCTATTGATGCAGAGGAGCGTTTCATTTCCCCACTTTCTGTCTGTGCCACTAAATGCCTGATGTTACCTTGAGTCAGCTGGCTCTTCTGCCGGGACTGGCAACTGTCCATTCTAGACCTGGATTGGCTCCCAGAGCTAGGGAACAGGGTTCCACAACTAATCAGATGCCGGCTTCTTCAAGCAGGGACCACCATTTGTTTGACTGTGTGTAAAACAAACTCTTCGAACTTACATGTTGACCATTTTTCCCCGCCCAAGACTTTTCAGATAGACAGCTCTTATTAATAAAAATAACACCTTACTTAACTAGCTCTTTTCACTTCCTGAGCACTTGCACATCCACTATCTCACTTCAACTATTATTATTATTATTATTTTATTTTTTTGAGACTTAGTCTGGCTCTGTCACCCAGGCTGGAGTGCAGAGGCGCAATCCCAGCTCACTGCAACCTCCACCTCCCGGATTCAAGCAATTCTCCTGCCTCAGCCTCCTGAGTAGCTGGGATTACAGGTGTGCACCACCACGCCCGGCTAATTTTTTGTATTTTTAGTAGAGATGGGGTTTCACCACGTTATCAGGCTATTCTCGAACTCCTGACCTCATGATCCGCCTGCCTTGGCTTCCCAAGGGCTGGGATTACAGGTGTGAGCCACCATGCCCGGCCACTTCATCTATTACTGTAGGTTGTAATGGACACTAGTCTTTGCAACTTACATGTAATTCTGTGACATGCTGGTGATCTGGACTTGTGGACTAGTAACTTCTCATAGACCTTGCAGAGTAGGAAAAGATTTCCTTGATTTTCTTAGGGTGTTTGCTGGGTCTAAAAGGGAAGCTACAAAGACAAATTAACAGGGGAAAAGCGTATATATTTATTTAGTATAAGTTTTACACCACACAGGAGACTCCATAATGAAATGAAACCTTGAAGAAATGGTTAAAATTGTGTATGTTTGTACTAGATTTGATGGAGAGTAGACAGTCATGGGAAAATATAATTGACAGAGTATGATCTAATGGTAATAAACTGGGGAAACTTTGCCAGGCCTGTTGGTTCAGTTGCTTCTCTGTGACACTTTACCTTCAGGGATAAGGATTTCCCCTTCCTCCCGGTGTAGGGAGTGCACCTCTCACAATGGGGTCTATGCCCTGCTGGAGGAGAGAAGAGTCAGAAAAGATTACAGAGAACTTCCTGCTTCTGCAGTTTTCTTAATTTCCTGTAGCTTAAAATACTCAATGTATTGGACTGGGTGCAGTGGCTCACGCCTGTAATCCTGACACTTTGGGAGACCCAGGAGGGTGCATCACTTGAGGTCAGGAGTTTGAGACCAGCCTGGCCAACATGGTGAAACCCCATCTCTACTAAAAGTACAAAAATTAGTTGGGTGTGGGGGTGCATGCCTGTAATCCCAGCTACCTGGGAGGCTGAGGCAGGAGAATCTCTTGAAACTGGGAGACGGAGGTTACAGTGAGCCGAGATTGCGCCACTGCACTCCAGCCTGGGCAACACAGCGAGACTCCATCTCAAAAAAAAAAAAAACAAAAAAACCCTCCATGTATCAAGATGCCACATTTGGGGGTAGAATGTTCTGAGCTCTGTCACCACCAACTCAAGGCCCTCAGTGACAGAAAATAATCTTTTTTATTTTTCTGACATTCAGCTGAAATAACTTTCTCTTGAGTCTATCCTAAAAGTGTGTCAGTCCATTGTTTCTTCAATGGTTTGTGTAACACCCTGACCCTGTGATTCTTCAATCTTCAGAGCAGGACACACTTAGCCCTACTTGTAGTTTCAGCCTTATATAAAATTCAGAAAAATCTTTCGCCAAGTTATGTTAAATGTCAAGTTTATGCACTCATTTACCATTACTGAGCGCTTACAATGTGCCTGGTGCTTAACTTATATTATTTCATTTAATGTGTATAGCATCCCTTGAGTGGATGTAGCCATCTTCACTTTAGAGGAATGGGAACTGAGGTCCAAGGCTACATAACTACAAGCAAAGAAACCAGGATTCAAACCTAGTTTTCTCTGAATCTGAAACCATTGTTCTTTGTCTTAAATTGAGTGTTGCCTTTCCCTACTAGGAGCTGCCTATGAGAGCAGCATTACCTATCTTTCTAAGATCCAGCAAAGAGCTCCTTTAGTCCTTGGGCTAATGGTAACCATATCTTACTTGTCATTCTGCCAGGCCCATAAATCACGTGTTGTCATACAGGGTGTGTGTTTTCTGCCCCCTACTACATTGTGTACTCTTTGTGGGCAGCTGCAATATCTCACTTATCCTTGGAGCTCCAGAACCCAGCAATGTCCCTGGAACATAGTAACTACTCAATAAATGCTAATTGAATACCTGAACGGATGAGTAACTACATCTGCTGCAGGTCTGTGAAGGATGAAATTTTGAAATGTTTCCTTGAAAAGTAGATGTCCACTTGTATGGAGCCATCTGGATCCTGAATTCTCTGAGTTTGATACCCCTCAACCTCATTAACCATGCCTTTCCTGCTTCCCTAGTCCAGCAATAAACTTAGCACTCCAAGAAGAGACCCATACCTGGGACTCTCTGAAAATGATGGAAACTTCTTCCCTATTTTCTCCTTCATGTGGCCTCAGAAGCAAGCTTCCTCTGGGAGCACATTGAGCAAACCTCTGACAGCTGCTTCCAAGATCCCTAAGTTTCTAAAGCATGTGACAGCTTCTTCTGACCCACTGAAGTTGTCTTGTGATAAATCCTCAGTGTTCCTTAAACTATCTCTGGTGAAAAAGAAAAGAGTTTTTCTCCCAATTTGTCATAAACTGATACTTATGGAAAATAAAACATCACATACTTGGATGTTATGACAATGTCAAACTGATATAACAAGTTTCTAGATCCTTTCTCTCAATTTCTTTACTTAACTCCTTTATGACTAGTAACAGTATGTGGATTGATGCTGGTCCATAGGCCACACTTGAAGGAGCATCAGCATAAACCACGAAATTCTGATTTTCTCTCTGGAGTAGTGTCTAATAGAAATGGAATGCAAGTCACATGTAAGATTTTAAATGTTCTAGGAGCTGCATTAATAAAGGTAAGAAGAAACAGGAGATACTAATTCAAATACTATATTTAGCCCAATATATCCAAAATATTATTATTTCAATATGCAATCAATATAAAAATAATGAATAAGCTATTTTACAATTCTTTTATTTTGCACTAAGTCTTTGAAATCTGGTGTGTATTGCTACCTAAAGCACAGCTCCATTTGGATAAGTCACAATAGCACATATTGCTAGTGACTACCATACTGAGCAATGCAGCTCTAGAGTTGTCACTGCTACCACATTTACTGACTCTAATCCCTTTGAGGTTTCACCATTGCTCTATAGAAAGTTCCTTAGTTACCTCTAAGCTTCAGAAACATTCTGACTCACCAGGACTCCTGCATTCAGTTTCAAGCAATCTTCCAGAATTAAACACTTTAGTTCTGGTAAGGAAAAGACAGAAACATTAAAGGCAACAATTGGTAAAAAGAAACATACTCTCACCCACAAGATCTCAGATATGTAGTTCAGCAAACCATTTTGAGCCTCTACAAGGTGTCAGGCATTCAGGCATGGGTGCTAGGTGGATGATCAGCCAGTATCTGTATATTGTCTTTATTTTGTACAGTTGGAACCATCTCATTCTTAAATTCTAAAGACCCTAGGGATCCCTTCTAGAAGAAGAAAACAAAAAAATCCATAGCTCTATAGGCTACCCCCAGTTCAGCCCTGAGCGGTATTGCTCCTGGTCTTACTTTGAATTCCCAGATCTGCATTGACTGGATTTCATTCTTCTTCCCCAATGATATCATCTCTGCCTGGAGACTGGACTATTGCTCTAGGAGCTGTCTTCTTTTGGTGCTAACTACCAAACCATCTAGATGTTGGTCTTTTTTTTTTTCACGGGACCTCTATGTTTTACTGTAATTGTTCCTCTTTAAGAATCATCCTGAGCCGGGCGCGGTGGCTCAAGCCTGTAATCCCAGCACTTTGGGAGGCGGAGATGGGCGGATCACGAGGTCAGGAGATCGAGACCATCCTGGCTAACACGGTGAAACCCCGTCTCTACTAAGAAATACAAAAAATAGCCGGGCGAGGTGGCAGCGCCTGTAGTCCCAGCTACTCGGGAGGCTGAGGCCGGAGAATGGCGTGAACCCGGGAGGCGGAGCTTGCAGTGAGCTGAGATCTGGCCACTGCACTCCAGCCTGGGCTACAGAGCGAGACTCCGTCTCAAAAAAAAAAAAAAAAAAAGAATCATCCTGAATATTGCACTTAGTTGTGAACTTGGCTTAGGACATTTGTGACCTATCCACTTCCTTCCCTGAAGAATAGCTCCCAAGTTTCATTCAAACTATTTGGACGTAAAATGGCATCCACTCCTTCGTAAAATCTTTATATGCCCTTGTGGCTTTGCCTTATATGTGCTATATGTACGTAGGTTGACCCACCTTCCTATTGCTCAGTCCCCAGTTCTAACAGTTATTATCATTAAGAAATATCTAAAGTCATAGAAAGCTAACATAGGTAGAATGACTTACGGTTTAGTACTGATATTTAGATTCAGAAACCATGTTATTAAAGAAATCAATTAGCTACAGAAAGATAACTCTGCTCCAAGTTCCTTTCCCATTTGCAGCACAGAAGCAGTGGCTGGTTAGCATCTGGGTGTCCTCGAGACATAGTGAACATTTCATTCATCATACATGACATTTGCATATTGCAAATATCATACTTTATGCACATGCCTTCCAGGCTAGTCTAGAGACTATGATTGCTGCCTAATCCTCACATAAATCAATGCACCAGGGAATGCCACTTCTAAACATGAGGAAAATCAAGGATAGCTCTGCCTTCAGACTCTTCCTGGGACCATCTCATTCTCTTCACATCCCAAGTAGATTCAGTGCCTTCATTTTCTCTTCTTTCTTGTAGCTATTAAAATTCTATTAGCCATTTGTGAATATTATTTTATACCATCTGCATTTTCTCTAAGTTGTGATAGTGACAGCTGCAATCATTTGTATGCATTTTCTGTGCAGGATTTTGTGTGTGTATAGGAACAAAACCTTTCCTTTGTATGACCATGTATCCAAATAGAAAGATGATTTGTTTGTAAATCTATTTCTCTTCCAAACATTAGTTTATTTGCTGAGAAGACAGAAAGAGAAGATGTTGAAAGAGGAAAGGCAAAAACATTTGATCTCAAATAACAAAGCGTAGGTTTGCTTTTTCTCAGCTCTTGGTTTTCCGCCTCTCAATCAAAGTTGACCTTACAAGTACTGTTAGACTGTGTTTCGTGTTTTTAATCTGAAGGCCTTCAGGGTATTTCCCTCATTCCACTACCACTCTAAAATCTTTCTCCTTTCCCCATGTCTCAGTTAGCAGAAAAATTCATCTAGCCGGGCTCCTCCCTTCTTTCCTGCACAAGAATGAATCTGGTTCTTCTTTAAGGAAAGTGTAAGCTCGCGGGGAAGGCCAGCGAAACAAGTCTACAGTTTGTCACACTGGAAAGTTACCAGCTTGTTAAAGCCACCTTCTAGGGTGGGCATGACAACAAGGTAGCAGAACCTGCCTCGTTTTGAGTATCACCTTGCACAGCATACAAGAATTAAATACATGAAGACTCCAATCAGGATTAATCTGAGCTACTCATGAAAGCTTTAAGTGTTCCAAGGAAGTTGAGTCAGAGGATTTTCAGTTGCAACTTGATTCAGCTAACCAGTTCCCTCATGCCACACAAGGAACCAGGACCCTCTAGGCCACACCTTTGGGAGGCACCCCACATGGACAAACCCTTTTCTCTAACTGCCAACCCTTCCCAGTCCTACTCGCTTTCTTCTAATAAACCCTTTTGGAAGCTTTTACTAATATCCACTGACTGTAGTCTTCGCCCTGACGTTAATGGTAGGAGGTGAGATTGTTTTCTTCCTGGGGTTTTTCTGGTCTCAAAAAGGAAGGATGTGAGTGAGTTTTTTTTTTTTTTTTCTGATGGGACATATGAGAAAGATAGTGTTTCTTTCTACCTAAGCTTGGTCCTCCACCAGAAATTGCTCTTGCTAGATTTCTTCAGAATAAGGCAACACTCTCACCACAATGAATATAAATTCTTTCTAAAGACTCACAGTCTAGTCTCACATAGATGCATCCATTCCTTCTATTGAGATAATTTTGCTCTATGTAAAATTATAATGCCATCTACATTTTTCTAAAGTAGCATACTGCTTCTTTCTTAGGTTTATTATTCTTATATGGTCTCTATTGTAGCTCAGAATGCCTCTGTCTAAGCCATCTTTGATGGTTGGTACTATCCCAAATAGTTGCTCTCTGCCTCAAATTTCTCCTCTGACTTTGGATGCTGGTGGATGATATGTTATCAGTTAATCCTGCTGCCTCCTTATTGGTAGTAATTGTAAAAGACGGAAGTGGAGGTTGGGAAAAGAGAAGGGAAATACAATGAAGATTTTTTTAATAAAAGAAGTAATAATTTTACAGTGCCTTGAGGCAGATAAAGAAAATTGAGTCAAATCATATCAGAAACTTGAACCTGTACCCTTGTCTGGTAGAAAGCAAGAGGCTGTCTATAATTGAAGGGATGTTGCAGCCAGGTTATAGTGTTTTGATGGGTACTAATACACTCTGACATAGAGTTATCTTCTGAGGAGTTAAAGCCATATATATTCCTGTGCACTGGAAAGAGAATGTCAGAAAAGAATGCATCCAGCATGCATGGAGGTTCTCCTAGCTTCACTAAGCTAAATTAGATCACGTAAGTCATCTGAAGCTTTTCCTACAGAAATAGCCCAAACAGTCAATCACTCCTCCTCTGTGACTACATTTGGGAGTTAGAAACTAACAACTATTAGTGTGTCATCCTTTGGCTTAGGCAAAGAGATAGCAAACTTCCATGTGAAACCCATCCCAAAATCTCATAGACTGGTCTTTTTGATAAACATAGAAATGGACTTTTCTGGTCTTAAAGCTTGAAACTTATATTTGTTTTATCTGAGTTCCTTCCTCAGGAAAGGACCTTTGGGCCTCTGAAAGAAAGAATCAAAGAACTGAAACTCACCAGATCACCATAACCTGATAATGAGATGAAAACCCCTCATTCATCATGATTGCTTCCTTGCCCTCCCTAGTTCCTGTTTTCTTACATGTTGTTACATTTCTTCCCCGCTGTATAAAGCCCTAGTTTTTGTCAGTCAGGGAGATGGATTCGAGACTGAACTCCCATCTCCTTGTCTGCAGCACCTGAGAAAAGCCTTTTTCCTTGACGATAACCTGTCATCACTGACTGGCTTCCTTTGCTGCAAGCGGCAGGGCCTAGACTGAACCCCTAGTGTTTCGGTAACACGTGCAAGGCTGGGGCTAGGGTGAGACAGGAGAGATGCATAGGGTACATAACTGAAGGAGATCCTGTAAGAGTGAGTGAGTGAAAAGGAGTATCTTGCTACTTTTTGCTCCCTAGGTATCTCACTTGCCTCCCCTTAGTCTCAACAATGCTTTCAAATATAGAAAAGAAACTGTCCCATGGGCCAGGGAGGCCTGTTAGCATCGATAGAACCAAAGGGATATAATCTGTACGTTTTATTTCGTTAACCCCTGGATTTGCCAATTAAGCTTCAGTTCCCTTTTTTAAAATACAAACTTGCTAATTTTATATGTTGGCATTAATTATGTAACACTTTAAGGTAGTAAGGCTTATATGTACTTTCCTCTGTGTAAAGGGACAATCAAGCCCTTGAGAAGAGGGACAGTGGAGAAAATGAATATTGAGCATCTACTAAGCAAGGCACTGTTACTAGTCGACTGGTCTAGCTATTGCCTATCCCTTTGTCCTTTGACAACTACAAAGGCTAAAAGAAAAATCAAAGTGTTCCAACCTCCTTTGCAGACAAAGGTTACAGTGTAAGAAGCAATCTGCTTGGATCTGCTGGTTCATGGCTACCAGATTTGGCAGAAAAAACATAGAACACCCTGTTAAAGTTGAATTTCAGATAAGCCATGAATATTTAGTATAAGTATGTCCCAAAATTGCTTACGAAATATGTATTCTAAAATTGCCTTCATTGTTTATCTGAAATTTAAATTTAACTGAATGCCCTGTGTTTTATCTGGCAATCCTGTTCATAAATATATATATTTGCATAGCTTGTAGCTTACAGCATCCTCTCTTCTGTCTTTTTTTTTTTTTTTTTTTTTTTTTTTTTTAAGATGGAATCTCCCTCTGTTGCCAGGCTGGAATGCAGTGGTGCGATCTTGGCTCACTGCAACCTCCATCTCCCAGGTTCAAGCGATTCTCCTGCCTCAGCCTCCCAAGAAGCTGGGACTACAGGCACGCACCACCACGCCTACCTAATTTTTGTATTTTTGGTAGAGACAGGGTTAAACCATGTTGGCCAGGATGGTCTTGATCTCTTGACCTTGTGATCCACCTGCCTCGGCCTCCAAAAGTGCTGGGTTTACGGGTGTGAGCCACTGTGCCCAGCCTGTGTCTTATACAAGGATTATGATAGTCAAAGTGATCTCAGAGGTGCTGACTGTGCACTCACACGTCATGAAACCTCTGACCGTAAACATTGTCCAAACTCTGGAGTACTTGCTTTGTGACAGAAATAAACCCTTTATAAGTTTAAGTCATTGTTAATAGGGTTTTCTACTACTGGGATACAGAAGCATTCTTAACTGACATCCTTATTTTGTGCCAAACACGTACTTTCTTTTTTTTTTGTCTCGCTCTGTCGTCCAGGCTGGAGTGCAGTGGCGTGATCTTGGCTCACTGCAAGCTCTGCCTCCCGGGTTTACGCTATTCTCCTGCCTCAGCCTCCCAAGTAGCTGGGACTACAGGTGACTGCCACCACGCCCGGCTAGTTTTTTTTTGTATTTTTTTTTTTTTTCAGTAGAGACGGGGTTTCACTGTGTTAGCCAGGATGGTCTCGATCTTCTGACCTCGTGATCCTCCCTCCTCGGCCTCCCAAAGTGCTGGGATTACAGGCATGAGCCACCGCGCCCAGCCCAAACATGTACTTTCCTATACCTTACCTCATTTAAATATTTTAACCACTTTATGACATGGATGTTATTGTGCCTGTTTTCAGATAAGAAGAATGAAAATTCAAAGAAACTAAGTACCTTTCTCAATGCCTCATAAAACTGATGGTTAATGTTTATTGTGTACTTAGTAGGTTCTGACACAGGTTGATGTGTCTACATGTACGCAATCACCTAATCCTCCTAACAGCTGTTGAGAATAGTACTGCAATTATTGACAATTCTATAGATGAAGAAACAAGAGATTATGAAATGTACTCAGTACAATGGAGCTGGGCTTCAACTCATATACTGGGGTTTAGCACCCTGCACTGCTGACTACAGTGCATACTGGCCAGAGAAAGAGGTGACATTCACACTAAGGCATAGGGTGCTAATGCCAGGGCTCCTTCCACTGTGCCTGCCTGGTTCCCGACCTGGATAAATGAGGAAGTACTGTATTTCCCTTCTAGATTTCCAAAAACCTTATCTCTTTAACCCTGATTGCTAAGTCTCCCTTTACTAATTTTGCCCTGTAGGTTCTATGTTGCCCTAGAATCTGGCACAAATTCTGGCTTTAGGAAGGTGACGTGAGGCACCTTTTCTCAGTTGCTCATGGGGTTGGCAGCAGATGGCTTCCGACGTGCCAAGAACCTAGTCATTGGATTCTCCTTGTTCTCAAAATAAATAAATAAATAATTAAATAAATAATAGGTTCATGTGCCAAACTACCGAATCATCTGGGGAACATGGTTCTCCAGAGGCAGTTTCTTGCCCTTCCCTCTATCTTCTTACTTTATCCAGTGCAGATTTCCAGCCTACGGGGAACATTGCGATTTGCTTCCCTCATTCTTGCTAAGAGAAATACTCTGGTGTTTCCTCCCTACTTATTTTTCTTTCTGTGGCTCAAATTAATTACCTCTTTGGGGAACCTACTTTCTAGACTCCCATCTCTGCCTAAATTGCCAAAGATAACAGATTAGTGGCTGCACTTCCATGTGTTGCCTCTGGCTTAAGCCTGACTTTTGGGTCTACTTGTATTCCCACATTACTTCTGTCGGCCTATCTTGCCTGTAGTCTAATTCCTTTTATGACAAATGAACACTTACCTCCTAGACTGCTTAGAGCTTGTTTTACCCTGGAACAGAGCTTAGGGTTTACCATACTACCTTTGGACTGCTAAGAGCAAATGTTTTATTTTAGGGGTGTAGAGATAAGTTGTTTTATTCCTAAAATAATCCCCAAGTTCAAGGATGGGTAAGTTTGGGCATTCTGCATTCTAAATGAGAGAACTGTTTATTCAATCTTGTTTCTTGGGTCACCATTTATTAAAATAACAATGATCTCAATGTTTTGAAATAGAAAAAATTACTGCTTTGCACAAACAGTATTTAATTTTTCATTTCTAAGAGAAGAAGAATGATTGGAATGAGAGGAATTAAAGTTCCTTAATCTCATCTTTTAAAATCATATCAAACCATTTACATATCCAGGCTCTTTTCAATTTCCGTCTGAGGTCATCTCTGCTTATCATTTTCTGTGCTCTCTATAGATAGAAGTTTATGGTCTTCCTTTTCATAATCAAATGTGTGGCGCTCAAGTATGGACAGAGGAATCTAAGGTGGGAAACCATTATCTCCTTTGTCCTTTAACTACTCTCTCTGTGTGCCCCTGTATGTAAATATACAGAACCATGCAATGCACAAGTCAAATTGAAGGCCTTTGGAAAATGCTTTCTTGATTTTATCTCATTTCCTAGCAAAGCAATTGGTAATACCATTTTAGAAGTAAATGAGGTTTGATTGCAGATGGAACATCTTTACCCAGGCACTATTTTCCCTTCCTAGAATATGTAAACGTTGACTTCCCTGGTTGTTACTGAACCCTTTCATCTAATCATAAAGTTTTTTTTAATGCAATGTGCTATCCCTGTGGATTTAAGCCTAAGCACTGAGGGAACTCAAGATGGGTATAGACTTTCTGAAATACATTTTCACAGAGAACTATAATCCATCTTCCAGAAGAGCCAGAGATTCCAAATTTCCTCCTTTATTATGAAGTCTCCAGATAAGACTTTTATTCTAAAGAAAACCGTAGTACTTCATATATTGTTACCAATAAAGGGGTAAAGCTTACTAATTTTTAATTTCCTTAGCACTTTCTCTCTAAATGAGGAACAGATTGTGGAAGGAAAATTTTGATAATCATAGTAGGTTGCTAGCTGCTTTGTTAGCACAATCTATTCCTGAGATTTTATGAGATCTGGCTTACGAAGCACTGGTTGATAAATGATTCAATATTTAACCATGATTTACCTGTACCTTGTGGAGGAAAATTATGCTGATGGAGCTGAAATCACCGGAACAGAGATTTTTACATCCCATAGAATGTGTCAACATAGCGTTGAGTGTGAATCGCTCACTTGGGACATAAAGTGCTCCTCTTTTTAGGATCCAGGATTACATCTCAATATAAATGGCTGATGGAAGTAAACAAAATGAGCCCAGTGCACTGCCTGGTGACATGTGGTAATAAAGATCAGCAATGAGGGATGGAAGGGCTCCCTTGCCATCTCTAGATGTCAAAGAAGTAGATTTTAAACTCTGTGGGTGGTATCAGTCTGGAAAATAGAGGAACATTCGAGCCATATGGAAATCACTACAGCTTCATGAAAGGAAAGATGAAGACCAGCTTTGCCTCTTTAAAGGAATGACTATGGAGGGAGCATGGTACCTGGACTCTTCCCTGGGGCCTCACTTACCTGTATATTTATTCGAACCTTTTCTTCATCTAAATCAATGAGATCCAATCTGTTACAACCTGGGAGATTTCAGTCTGAGACTTCCTGGAAAGGCAATAGCAATGCAGAGTTGATTAAAATTAGTACAGAGAGTCAGCAGACTAACACAATATTTACAATATTCTGTCTAGTATTCTAAAGAAAGCACATCAGCACAATCAAAGATGGCAAAAGTTTTATATTGAGAAGGGGGGAGTGGTAGATCATCAGTTCCTCTTCTGGTAAATCAGGATTTTTTTTAATCTGCTGGAAAATAAGCTCTACATGGGCAGGATCACTAGCATAACTTTGTCCCTTCCACCACCCCTGGCCCAAAGTAGGTTTTAAATATATATGTTTAAATAGAAAGGTAGATGATAGATAGATAGATAGATAGATAGATAGATAGATAGATAGATAGACAGACAGATAGATAGATTTGGTCTGGCTTCTTAGGAAATTTCAGAAGCAGTATAAAATTTGGAAGAGAAATATCTTGAGGGGAAAAACAACGTGAAATGGGAAGTGGTAGCTGATCTTACTATAGGACAAGTTGGGAAAAAAGGTCCAGGGGTCTGATTTCCATTCCCATTATAGGAATCCTCAATCCCTGACTGTGCCTGGGCCACTATTCTGACTTAAGACCAAGCTACTATCCTGTGTCTCATTAACCTGATGCATCTGTGGCCAAAAGCAAAATCTGGCATTGCTTTATTCATTTTTTATACATTCCCATCAAGTTAACCAGATTTGTAGTCACAGCCCATAAATACACCATACACTGGCCTTTCTCAAGGCCCGAGGCATTTTACTTGGTGTCCAGGCCAAGAATTAAAATAAAATTTCAAGCCCCTTAAACGAATTCCGGGTCTTGCAGTTAGGCTAACAAATAATATTATTCTTGTAGAATCCAGCAAGTGCCAAGGTCCTTATCCTAAAAATCTGATGACTTTGGATTTAGATAAAGGTCTGAGTTTCCTAAAGGTGATATAAGCAATACCATCCAAGATGTTTTGCCACTATTGTCTCCAGCTTATTTGGGACTATTTTTCTTAAACTTTATGAGATGGTAGACAGCTTGAAAATCATAGTGTACTTTGCATAACACTATGAAATATGGATGTATTTAATTCCAGCATTTGAACTAGGAACAATTTTACTAGCAGAAAATGACTATGTTATAGGTATGCAACATGAAATCACAACACATGTGCATGCAAAAAACAGGCTCATGAGAGAAGCACGATCTGTTGTTTCTGAGTTTTGCCATTAATATTCATTGGCTGCTTGTTCATTTGTTTTGCTGTCTGCCTCACAGACAAGCAGTAGAAACCACCAAAGGTTTTAGAAAAATTTATGGAAGAAAAATTTAAAATGGAAAACATTTTTTCCATTAAGTTATTATTTTCTCTAAATTGGCAAGACTGCCATTATTCAATTTCAGCAATGAAAATCCTTGGATCAGCATGCAGAACATCAATGATCTTTGAGAAAGTAGTTTGAGAATTAAATATAGGAATTGGGATAATGTAGCTTAAAAATTCAAAACTCTGGGTCGAACTCACCTGACTTGAGTCCTGGCTGTATCCATTACTAGCTGCGTGTATGCATGTTATTTAACCGTTCTTTGCTATACCTTTCTCCTCTGAGAAACGGTTATAATCTAATTCTAACATCTTAGAATTGTGTTAGTGTTAAGTGAGATTGTATATCATTATGGATTTTGTGATTTTGAGCAAAAAAATAAATACATTTGGGCTACATTAAGCCAAAGTTACGTTGCTGGAAAGACATTAAGGCTTTACACAATCCAGGAGATACCCAAGAATCAGTCATGGAAATGGGACTGAACCAAAGCAATTCTGCAGGCCCACAAGTACAAACGTTTCCAATAGCTTTGTAACGAAACTCTAGTGTGATCATGCTCGATCAAATGCAATAGAATTCTACCACTGTTAGCTTCTTTGACTCTCTGATCGTGTCTGAAGTACCAGAGAGGGAACATCCAATTAGCCTAGATTGGTTCATGAGGTCACTTTATTAGGAGTAAGGGGCATCTCTGATTGCTGTATCCCCATAAGACTATATTCAGTGAGGAAGAAGTATTCACACGAATAAAAATGGGAATTATCGGAAAGGAGAAATGAAAGCCAAATATTCCAAAACATGCATGTCTTTTACAGATGAAGTAGGCAGACCGCTTGATACCTAGCAGGTAGTCAGTATACTTTATTTAATTACTTTATTTATTTGACAGGGTCTTGCTCTGCCACCCAGTATGGAGTGCAGTGGCAGGGTCATGGCTCACTGCAGCTGCAACTTCTTGAGTTCAAGCAATCCTCCCACCTCGACCTTCAGAGTAGCTGGGCCACAAGCACATGCCACTACACCAGGCATTTTTTTTGTATTTTTAGTAGAGATGAGATTTCACCATATTGCCCAGGCTGGTTTCAAATTCCTGGGTTCAAGTGATCCACCCACTTCAGCCTGCCAAAATTCTGGGATTACAGGTGTGAGCCACCATGCTGGTACTCAGTATACTTTAATCTCACCTTCTGACCTCATTTAAGGCAATGAGATGTTTCACACTAGGTGGAGTTGACTTTGAGTTACAGGCGTTAACTTGCAGTGTTTTGATATTAGCCCAGTAATTTTTAAGAGTCTCAGAAGTCCAGATCGCAGTAGTTTTTCATTTCTTTGGAATGAGAACACAGTATTCGCTCACAAAGGAACTTTGGATAGCAACTCCTTCAACAAGGATGCAAGGGCTTCCAAAGATGCAGTTTCTCAAAACCGGGACCCATAGAGGTAGCTGAGATAAAGTATCCCAGCCCAATTAACTTTTTTGGTGGCATCCAAGGACCTATGGCTAGATACATCATTGTTTCCAAAACATTCTTGATGATCTACATGTGGGACCTTTTTAAAAGAAAATTAGTTATATGGCCACATTTTTGTTCACTAAAATATGCATCCTAGGATAGATCTTTTCAGAATAAGCATGGCCAAAAAAAAACTTGTACCCTCTTTTATCTCTGCTGACTACAGACTAAATCTACAAATATCTGAAAGAGTTTGGCAAATTCAAACAACTGTGATAATTTCACTGTTTCTCCTGGAGCGACTGGGAAAACTCATTTTGTGGGCATATTTTCATTGTTGACTGGACTCTAATAGTCTACTTTTATCCTCTGTTGCCTCTTGCTAAGCCTGGTTATTTTGTTTGGTAAACCATAGTTGAACTTTATTCTTATATATAAGTGTACCTTCAAAGGGAACTTCCTAACTGGACTCCTTTGAAACTCCAACAACCTGTATTCTGGTGTCAACATTTTAAAATAGCTTAATCCCTCATTTTCTCCCACTTGTAATTCAGGTAACACTGTGGGAGGAATCCTTCTTGTAGTGAACTATACCTTTTTCCTATTTCACCTTTGTGACCAAATTCATCACATCACCTCTGGAGTTCTTCGTTAAATTATCTGAACTCTACTGCATTTAGAAATGATTTGATGGGGGGCTTGGAGGCCATTGGAGACACAGCATCCATATCACCAGTTTTCTTTTTCTTTTTTTCTCCTTAAATCAAAAAATGACTTTGGTTTGTCATGGCCTGACCCATCTATTCAGAAGTTCGTTCCATTAACTCTTTTAATAGTCCCTTCTTCTTCAGGGCTCTGATGAGATTAAAGTCATTTTCCCCCTAGAGGCTGGAGGGCTCCTGCCATTCCCCATAATTCACTGGCTCCAGCTAATGGGTGCTGGGGGAGGGGTGGAGGTTATTGCAAGGCTAGAGCCATGCTTTGTAGTGACTGTGGGGTTATTAAAGAGGTGAAATAGTGGGTGTTCTTCCCTTCCTCTTAAATCGTTCTTAAAATGCTGTAATATTTGTTGTTTCTTTCCCACTCTAGCCTGATTTAGGAAGCATATAAGAGTAACCCATATTGTGCTCTATGTAAGGAGTGCTGGGAAGGACCTAGTCTTTCTACATTTATTTTCCATACCCTTGGCTGAGACCTAAGTTCTCACAATTAGTAATTTTTTTTTTCAATGTAAGGTTTTGGGTTTTCTAAAATTTTTAGTAAAATAGCATATTGTGTTTTACGAGCCATTTGCATCTCATAGGAAATTTATTTCATGCTTACTAGATAACAGAATTTGAGCCAAAAAGATAAAAAGAGTCCAAGTATACTAGGTCTTTGAATTCATAAGAAAAGATGTGCCAGAAAAATCTCAGAAGTTGACAGCATCACTGATCAGTTTTTCCCTAACTTTATGATACTTAATACAAAGCTGGTAACCTGTATTCCCCATCCCCAGATATTTTCTATATTTCTCTAAGTCATGAATATCTATTTCCTATATCTTGGAAATAAGTAGTTACCAATCACTTTCATCAAAGATGTCTACCAATCACTTTCATCAAAGTTACCAAATATTCTCATCAAAGTATAAGACATGTCTGTTCACTCCATGTAATCTCCTTCTCTGTCACAATTGGGGGAGGCAATTTAAAAGATTTCCGTAAAAGAAGTATTAGGTACTGCCAGACCACAGATACTATCAGAAAGGTGAAGGACTAAACACTAAGTCAGATGACTCTGTTGTCAGCCATGATGTAATTACTAGTACTGGGCTTCCCTCCCTGGCATTAAAACAAAAAACAAACAAACAAAGAAAGAAACAAAAACAAAACAAAGCAAAAATTCTAGAAAATTTGATTAAATTTTCTAAAAACTTAATAAAATATATAAAACAGCTGTTTTCAAATATTAGGTGAAAAGCAATACAGAACGAGGATCCCTGAGGGAAGGGAAACAAATTAGTTGAGCCCTACAATTGTACTGCCTTTCTGCATAAAGGTAATTATTGGAGCACAGTGCAGAAATGGGAATACAAGATGAGCACAGTATTCTTGCTGAGCTGAAGATAGAGCAGAGTTTAGTGAGGATAAGGAGTCTCACATTTCTTGGAGAGAACTGCGCAAAGAATTTTAGAAACCAGCACGGGAGCTCGTTTGAGTTGGTTGCTGAATACTAAGTTGTGCACATATTGGGTAAGACTTC